ATTCGCCAAATTTAATCCCCTCCAAATTTACGGTAAATTTTTTAATATTGACACACTCCTTGCCACCATATCTGACTGAGCTTCTTCCTCATACTAAAGAATTACGACCATCCTGTATAGCTTCTCCATGTGATAAACAAGATAATCGAGGACTTCTGGAGATGATGAACTAGTGTAAGTTTCCAAGAGACTTAAACCTTGCAGCCACCCACGAAAAACAAGATTATCCATGTCGAGATTCATGCCATCCACTTCGGCCATTTTAATTTTGACCACACCTCCACTTCAGTAGCGCTGGCTGCTAGCTACACATAATTGTATGCTTTATCTTTAGCTACTTAAATTTAGCAAACCTACCTCACCATCCTAGATGTCTATTTGAATCAGAGGGAGACTTAAATTCGTGGGAAGCATGCACCTTGCGGCGCATGCTGGAAAGTAAACTGTACTATTGAAGTAGAATGATATATTTTTGACACAAATAACACACCATAGTAAATGAGTAATATACCATGTAGTATCACAGATTGACTGTATTTGACTCCTCCAATCATTGCTATACAGGTAACATTAACTGACACTCCCAGTGGATCAGGATATACCAGTAGTGTGTTGTTGTATGTCAGAACATCAATTGATGTATGCATTGAGTTACTTTTCATCACTCCATTCACTAACCAGTAAACATCAGTAGAAGGATTATCAATATCAATAATTGTGAGGCAATCAATACGATATTGAGTGTTATTGAGTTGTGTAAGGGATGAGACTAGTGTCCAATTGATTGAATTAATAACTAAAGATACATCAACATGACAACAATGTTATGATATGCATTACCTGGTAGATCAAAGGTCTGTACACTGATTGTACTAGCAGGTCCCAGTAATTGTTGATAGGCTCTGACTGTGATCCTATAATTTGTTCCTCCTCTCAGTCCATTCAGTGTGATTGTATTATTACTACTTCCCTCCACCTGTACTGTCTGCACAGTGTCTGTGTCACTAGTGACATTGACTACATATCCATCAGCATCAGATGAATCAAGTGCAGTCCAACTGACAGTGATAGTGGTAGCTGTCTTGTTGAACTCACTCCTAAGAGATGAGGGAGCAGTTGCTGGTACTAGATATATATACATAATATTAGAATTGAGCATTTAATCTAGGATTCATTTACATCATACCTTTTATAGTTACATTACGTCTTCTAGTAGGTTGATCAGTAACTACCACTGCACACTGATACTTTTGATCTCCAGTGGTTGATTGACTGATTGCTCCACTACTGACAGTCATTCCATCCCATGTGATAGTAACAGTATATCTTGTTGTATACATTCTACTAGCTAACACAGTACCAGGACAAGGTAAATAACAAGAGGTGGCATCAGAACATGAGTAATGAACCATTGGAGTATTACCAATGCTCATACTAATACCATAGTGAGGGAATCCAATTTTTACACAATTCAGTTTGTATTGCTGAGGATATACTGTCATATCAGAAGGAAGATCACCAACAGTAAATGATTCTATCTGTGCATATCCTACAAAAAATTATTATTTCAGTAATAATTATTATCTTACTGAATATATTAGCAAAGATGATGTTTGTGTTAGGATCTGAACAATCAGTGGGTAGACAACACTTGTACCAGCCTTCCTGAGCTGCAAGTAGTTCCTGCTGAGCAAGATAAAGATTCAGAGTAGCATTAGGCAAACTTATGTTACTAGTACAACGAAAAGGGTCAGTATCATTATTACTGTTACAGTCAACAGGATCATCAGGATCAGCAACTCTAACCCATTGACCAGTAGTTAGACTAGCACCAGGTAACACACATGATATAGATTTAGCTTCATAAACTCTACTATCCCAGAAATATGATCCATTAAAATAACAGCCTCTATCATACATCAGGTAGATACCTATAAAAACCTATACAGTTGTTATTATACACATCCAGTGTCTTACCTGAGGAAGGTGGACATTCACTAATAACTTGACTGACACTCAACAAGAAGACCAGAAATAACATGTTGAAATTAGTAGTTGTGGATGCATTGCCGGGATGTGTATGGTAGGGTATAATGGAGTTCTAAATGGAGTTTATACAGATAGCAACAATAGCAACTTAACAGATGTTACTGGCTACTGAACAGTATAATTAAGAGGAAACAGGTCAGTGTGATTAAATCTGGCAGTGCATGCATATCCCGTAGATAGGCAAATATAGCCTGGTTAGAAAAACAACCTTAATTATGTGCATCATACATGAATGATACATGAGTAACTCTATGTATGGGTGGCAGTGCTCTATGGCAGATANCANACCCNANGCCAANAGTCTGCTATCTGCCATAGAGCACTTTCACCCATCCTATATACAATATAAAGTGTACTTGGTCAAAGATAGCCATCTGGCGGAAAGAATATACTCGAGTAAAGGTAGTGGCCATATTGAAGTTTACTGAGCATGCGCAGTAGAACAAAAAGTGTGACACGTGGCTGCCTGCTATCACGGGGGTGTCCCGATTATGCTAATTTTTTTTACCTATAATTCTATTCAGAAATTCTCAAAAATTTGCCTATTATTCTTTTTATTCTGCCCTATTATTCTCACTTTATTCTTTATAATTATGAGCTAACTACAATAAAAATGAAAATTAGTAAGTCTAAGAAGCTATTTAAAGTATCACTATTGGCAGCAGAGACTGCAAAATATAAGTCTCTATATCTATGTCAGAACCTGAACTTTGTTCAAAAATTGAGCTCAGGCATTAAAAAATTCAAAAATTGTGCATTTGCTGCTCTTTAATTAGAGTTTGGCTACTGATCCACCTATAGACCACCCTAGGCGTGAATTGGAAAAGTTATGAATTTCATTAATTTTATATACGGTACCCGCCCACACATTATAATTGGCTGCCATTTTGGTTGGCAAGTTTATTATGGAAGTCAATGGAGGCACGAAGAAAATGCCTCACTTACCTGCTGTAGCTCTATTAATAGCTAAAAAGCGCTTGTTATAAGAAAGAACAGCTGCCTCTAAGCTTCTCCTGTCAAGGATTTGGTCAAATTTGCTCCAGAAATTTTAATACAGGTTTGTTTTCATGTCGGCCCGTTTGTTCTCCATTGAAAGTTGCCAACCAAATTGGCGGCCGGAATTTATTTCATCCTAAACCACGCCTTACAACCGTAAAAATTTCTAATAATCTTCCTACGCATTCAATTCTCGCCTAGGGTGGTCTATTAGGCCAGCATTATTCTGGAATTGAAGTGCTACCTATTATTCCCAAAATTATTCCAGAATAATCGGGACACCCCTACAGCAGACCTGTGCGCAGGTCTGCTATCATGATAGCAGAGCTAGCTGTGGCTGTGGCAGGTCTGCTATCACAATTAGCAGACCTCGCGGCTCCCAGGCTTTGATCTACGTCACTAGTATATATACTTTATATTCTACTATAGCAAACCCAAAAACTAAAATTATATGGAAACATGCAGCAAAACAGATACACGCTTATAGTCATCATTTAATTTCTACTATCTCTAAAAATACATAAAAATTAAGTAGAATAGATTTGCAGATTAATGAGATTATAGATCATCATGTACACAGCAAATAACTATACCTGACATGTTACAGTGCTGAAGTACCAGTATATTGTTTAACTGTATGCTTTCTTCCATTTAATTTAGAATTATTTAATGAGTAGCATATCTATGTGTCAGTAATGAAAATGAATCAAAAAGAGGATCCAAATAGAGAAGAGGAAGAAGCTGTCGCAATATAGTAGCCTTAGAAAGAGGTTCTTGGTTTATTCAGTAATTGTGGTTGTTATTATTAGTGTTGTAGATGTATGTGTACAATAATGGATGGTAATAGATTTCCTAATGGAATACAGTAACAATAACAGTAAATGTTATGAGTAAGTGGTTAAACAATTTATAACACAAACACAAGTCAATATTCATGAATACAACACAGTCTAAGCTAATAAATTTTGATCTACACATTATGCTTTAATAAAAATATACTCATTTATTTATTTTTTAATAATCAAAGTTCATAATTTGTGTCAGCTATGAAGTCGCTTCACATTCATCATAAACTATTTCACTTTGCTTAGTCTTGTGAAGTTCATACAATTCACATACTTGCATTACAATATCTTCATCAGCTCTATTATACAATGTGTGTGTTCATATTATTATGATTACATTACATAAAACTCCCAAAATAATTATACTACTAACTTTGTATCATGTTTAATAGATTTAGCACTATCAGTAGAATAACCTTTCAATCTAAAAATATATCAGTTATAATATTATTACTAGATTAAAGTTACCTTATAAAAAAGCAGATGTTAATAGTAACACTGACAGTTAGTAGAATCAACAATACACCTACTGACACACCAAGAGCAATAACACTATCTGATGAATCACTGATTGATGGAGTTACTGAAACTGATGGAGTAGCAGTACTGATAGGATTATTATAGGAAGTGGTAGTATCTAAAATTACAAATGTAAATTTAAAACAGAAACATTGTAGTCTATATAGTACTTATTGGCCAACCATTATGACTTAGCAGCATCAAATGTATTGTACTGTTAACCGAAGGTAGATCTATATATGAGTACACACTGATGGTATAGGTACTCATTGGTGAGAGATCTGTTAGTACAATTTCATCTTCACTGGTAGATACTACATTCCTGGTTACACCTCCAGTAGTATACTCAATCACATATCCATTAGTCTCTGATGAAGTGGTCCAGTTCACTTTGATACTAGTAGCATTTAATATAAACCCTCTCACATTATTTGGAGGACCACTAGGAGCTATAGAACAAAACAAATTGTTATAACTAGTAAATGAATAACATACCATGTAATATCACAGATTGACTATATTTGACTCCTCCAATCAATGCTATACAGGAAACATTAACTGACACTCCCAGTGGATCAGGATATACCAGTAGTGTGTTGTTGTATGTCAGGACATCAATTGATGTATACATTGAGTTACTCTTCATCACTCCATTCACTAACCAGTAAACATCAGTTGAAGGATTGTCGATATTAGTGATCGTGAGACAGTCAATACGACATTGAGTGCCATTGAGTTCTGTAATGGATGAGACTAGTGTCCAATTGATTGAATTAATAGCTATGGAAATACATCAACAATGTTATGTATTACACACAGGAGCATTATATACCTGGAAGATCAAAGGTCTGTACACTGATTGCACTACTAGCAGGTCCCAGTAATTGTTGATAGGCTCTGACTGTGATGCTATAAGTTGTTCCTCTTCTTAGTCCATTCAGTGTGATTGTATTATTACTACTTCCCTCCACCTGTACTGTCTGCACTGTGTCTGTGTCACTAGTGACATTGACTACATATCCATCAGCATCAGATGAATCAAGTGAAGTCCAACTGACAGTGATAGTGGTAGCTGTCTTGTTGACCTCAGTAAGAGAAGAGGGAGCAGTTGCTGGTACTAATAATAATAAAAGATAGATACATTTTTGGTAGCAAAAAAAGGTCATTACCTTTAATGGCTAAAGTACGTGTTCTATCATTACCACCACTGAAATTAACTAGTACACACTGATATGTGTGATCTCCAGTGGTTGATTGACTGATTGATCCACTACTGACAGTCATTCCATCCCATGTGATAGTAACAGTGAATCCTATTGTATTGGTTTTACTAACTAACACAGCACCAAGACAATTATTTAATCGATCATCACAATTAGTGTAATTAGCCAGTGCACTACTATAGAGGTTTATACTAATACCATACCAAAACAATCCGGTTTTGATACAATTTAGTTTGTATTCCTGAGGATATACTGTCATATCAGAAGGAAGATCAGCAAGGGTAAATGATTCTATCTCCGCATATCCTACAAATGAAATTTATTACATCAGCAAGTGACTATATTCTCCTCTTACTGAATATATTAGCAAAGATGATGTTAGTGTTAGGATCTGAACAAGCAGTGGGTAGACAACACTTGTACCATCCTTCTTGAGCTGCTGATAGTCCACCAGCAAGATAAAGATTGATAGTAGCAGCTGGTGAAGTGACATTAGTACAACGAAAAGGATCACTGGCACTATTACTGTTACAGTCAACAGGATCATCAGGATCAGCAACTCTAACCCACTGACCAGTAGTTAGACTAGTACCAGGTAACACACATGATATAGCTTCAGTATCTGAATCAACAATGCTATTCCAAAAATATGATCCATTAAGATAGCAATTTCCATTATATGTTAAATAGATGCCTGTAATTTTAGATCATGCATAATACACATTTGTTATTTCTAATAATTATAAAGGAATACCTTCTTTTTGGCAACGAGTAGTAACACTGATTGCACTACTAGCAGGTCCCAGTAATTGTTGATAGGCTCTGACTGTGATGTTATAAGTTGTTAGCACACTCATTCCATTCAGTGTGATTGTATTATTACTACTTCCCTCCGCCTGTACTGTCTGCACAGTGTCTGTGTCACTAGTGACATTGACTACATATCCATCAGCATCAGATGAATCAAGTGGAGTCCAACTGACAGTGATAGTGGTAGTTGTCTTGTTTACTTCAGTAAGAGAAGAAGGAGCAGTTGCTGGAACTGCATATAAATAAACATGGGGTATTTAATGATCTATTATAATTTTGTTACCTTTTATAGTTACATTACGTATTCTAGTAGGTTGATTAGTAACTTTCACTTTACACTGATATAACTGATCTTCATAAATGTTTAAATCTCTGATCGATCCACTATTGACAGTCATTCCATCCCATGTGACATCAACAGTATATTTTACTGTGCTGCTCCTACTAACTAACACAGTACCAGGACAGTTACTACTCTTATCACCACAATTAGTGTAATTAGCCAGCAAAGTACTACCAATACTGATACTAACATCGTAATGAACGAATCCAATTTTAATACAGTTTAATTTAAATTTCTGAGGATATACTGTCATATCAGAAGGAAGATCAGCCACAGTAAATGATTCTATTTGGGCAAATTCTACAAATAAAGTATATTACATCATTATGTGATTATACTCTCCGCTTACTGAATATATTAGCAAAGATGATGTTAGTATTAGGATCTGAACAATCAGTGGGTAGACAACACTTGTACCAGCCATCATTTAATTGATGAAGATTATTAATCACATGAAAACTGAGGATAGTGTAGGATTCAACAGTGCAATTCAAATTTGAATTGCTACCAGGACAAGGAACTGTTCCATTAGGACCAATCCATTGTTGTCCACCATTTAAAGCAGAATTAGGCAATATACACTCTAGAGGAGTGTTGACTATGCCATCATCATGAAAATATGATCCATTAGCATAACATTTTCCCTCATGCCTCAGGTAGATACCTATAAAAACCTATACAGTTGTTATTATACACATCCAGTGTCTTACTTGAGGAAGGTGGACATTGACTAATAACTTCACTGACACTCAACAAGAAGACAATGGACACCAGCAACATGTTGAGCAACAGTGGGTATGTGAGT